GTATTTTCGGAAATTTCTACTGTAATAAAGATTAAGGTTAAAGAATGGTTTTAAGATTAGGGTTAGGGTTACGGTTAGGGATGGTGATCCAGGTTATATATAAAATTGTCTTCTCGACATTTTTTATCGTTATTAGTACTCCGGACCAGATTTTTTTGTTTCGGTTTGTTTTGCCGGGTTGATCAAAAATTTATGCATTCTTATTGGCTGTTTTTATCATAACCAAATCGGGTAAATGCACGCTAACTTTTATGATGATGGAAGAAATAAGTGATTTTTTCGAGAAAAAACGTCGTTCGAGTTGGTCGTTATTAGGTTTTTTGCAATACAGGCGAACACAGGACGACTTTTCATACGACAAACCAAGGGAACACAGACTCTACAAAAATTCATTAGAGAAATTATCTAATGATGATAATGCAAAAAAATGTTTAGCTATTTTCGAAGTTAAGTATAATTTAGATTGGGTAACTTTCATGTGTTCAGGGACTAGAATACGTTCCGGTCACACGGGACAATAACGTGACGTATTGACAACCCCCGAGTAGCTGGCTGACCTCGCCTTGGCCAGTGATAGAGAACTTCGCCTTCCCTCGGCGTCCTTGAACTAAGAGCTAGAATACGTTCCGGTCACACGGGACAATAACGTGACGTATTGACAACCCCCAAGTAACTGGCTGACCTCGCCTTGGCCAGTGATAGAGAACTTCGTCTTCCCTTGGGCGCTCTTACATGTTATTGCCATAACGTTTAGTCCAATAGTTTCAAAATTATTTTATTTTATATTAATTCCATTTCCTCTCTGACAATAGAGTGAGAGAACTTCCTTAAGTGTGGATGATTTTTGGAGGATGATCGATAAAAAACGACATCAAGACGAAATCGACCTTGAAGAGGTTAATAAATTATCATCTATAAATTTTTCATATTTTAACAAGAAACTGACTTTATTGCATTATATAGTTGGATTATACAAAACGTGCGTTGAAAGATACAAACAACGAAACGCACCATATACGTGCTATAACGACCAATAAAACGACGAGACTACTAAAACATGGATTAGAAGATCAAGCCGAAAAATCCAAGGGTTATAAAAGTAAAGATCAGGAAGAGGTCAACTCCGGTGAAAATGAAGTGACATACAACAAGCAAGATGTTATAACTAATGGTACGTTGCAAATGAATAGTTTGTGCTACAGGCTCGCTACATGGATAACATATCATTTGAATTAACTTAGATTCGGATAATGATTTGCGAGAAGTGACAGAATCAATGGTTGGAAAAGTGGAAAGAACTCCATTGATAGTAGACGACATTGACCTGGAGGAAATTTTCATAAATTACCGTGACGAATGTGAAAATATCTTTGAGTAAGTAGAATCAGCTCCTGTGGTTGACATGAACTTGAAATAGTAGTCTTATTATTATCGGCTGTTATTAGTTTATGTCATAGCGACATCATGGATATGAGACCTACCTCACGCTTCACGAATGAAATTACAGAGGAATCTTGGGATAAATGTGTGCTAGAGACATACCCCAAACATAAAATACCTGAGGAATGGGAAAAATTTATACAAGAATTTTTCAAGGTATGTCCCAAAATTTGGGAAAGGTAAATGTTTTTGGTTGTTTATCTTCGTTACTCATTTTGTCTGTTGATGACAAAACAGCCAAAAGACAACCTAGAAGAATGGAAAAAGGCCTGGCGCGGACTTTATAATGGCAAAGAAATCGACGAAAACAAAAAAGACCTAGTAGATGCCATCTACAATATTCTTGGAACATTGTATGTCCTTTATGATTCTTTTATCCATTGCATGTGGAATGTTATAATATTATGATTTGCATTCTTTTTAGTATTGAAGCTTTTGAAGCACCGGTTAACATTTTAAAATCAGGCGACCTTGAAGAGAATCAGTACAACGCACAATTTGTAAGTCCGGTGTTAAAAAATGCACTCAAGACTATATGTAGTGTTGATTGGAGAATGTAAGTTTTAATTATCCATCCTGAGAAAGTGTTCGTTGGCAGTGATTAACTTTGTGACACTACACTATTGTAGTCTTGAAGTGCCGGTTGAAAGTAGTAAGTCTCGCCGTAACGCCGATATAAATCCATTTATTGACAAAGTATTGGCCTCGAAGCGTGCAGACGGACTTGCTCGTCTCTGGGAAAATCATGAAGAAATATTTGTATATGAGCAAACGGGGCCTCCGAACTTCGATGATGTTACAGAATTTCACATCCATGACTATAAGTTGGTTAGAACCATGCGAGACGTGCTAAACCAACGAATAATCTTTCGCCTTAAAGGTGGAATGTACGATCACAAAGAACTGGCAAGTTTTGGTGCTTTGGGCCATCGCACTGAAGTATCTTTGTTTTGGTGTACAATACACCAAAGGGCATATTGTCTTCGTGAATATGGAAGTTATAAGATTCCTGCAATTTGGCAGGATCTCCCTGTTCTGTCCGAGGCAATTACAACATGTTTTAAATTTTTTGTGAGTGTAACAAAGCATATTGTATAGTTCTGTCCACTTAATCACTGTTCTTTACTAATACTTATCTATGTTCAGCTCTTCATGAAAGAAAATGTTGAAAAGAAGAAATTACACATTGAGCAAAAAAATAAGTTGCTGGTCAAGCGAAAGATTCATATGGTAAGGCAGAACCCACCAACACCAGATCGACCTAAAAAGCAAAAGAAGTAACAGTACAGTACTCTGCAAATGAAACGATGATGGCATTAGATTCGAAAAAATTTAGACTTAATACTTTGTTAATTTGTTTTTAATGTTTTATTAAATAAATTTTCGCCATCTCAAGAATTTTGGCCATGTTTCCGCATCTACTCTAACTTCAACAGAGGCTGGATATGAGCAGATGAGCATGTAGCTCAGTGGCAAATAGAATACAAAAATCATACACCATTGTGACTGGATACACGCATCTCAATAATGAGTGATGAGTAAGATGAATTTATATTATTGTTTTAATAAACAGCCAAATATTTATTCAATTGATAAATCCTGTTTTTCATCGCGTGAAGTATTCTTTTATGACCGCGGAACAAATTACACATTAATGTTAAAAAATTCATTTCTGGTTAGCGGAAATCAGGAAATCACGGGAAACACAAGTGACGTAGTGCTGCAAGCCACTAAAAAATTTCCGGCTCTGTAATAATTGTTAAACAAATTTATAAAGCTGAAGCTTAGCTATTGACAGTCTAATAAATGAATGTAATAATATTAGTAACTATGGATGTTTTGAATGGATCCCTTTTGAAAGATTCGCCAATGTTGAATATCTTGTAAAAGAGATTTTGGACGGTCCATTGAAACATGGGATCATGTAGAAAATAAAGTTAATCGAATGGGAGAATGGAAAGTTGTGTATCATTACGTGATTCAAAGCAAATTACATCGGAGTTTATAAACGAGGTAAATGAACACCTTTTAAAATGTAAGCATATTGCTTTTTTGTTTTTCAATATAATTAACTTTTTAAAAATTAGATTCAGACTGCTCTAAAGTGTATAATTATGTTAAATATTGTGGAATAACTAAAAGCCCAGCTACTCGGTAATGAATACTCATGATTGTAGTGAATGTACCGCTTGTCAAAGATCGAATCACTACCCTCCATGTATTGATTACCACAAACGAATCTAATTGTCTAGCGAAAATAAAGGTATCGACAGTTTAATAAATGATAAATTCGAATGGGCCCCTTTTGAAAGATTTACCGATGTTGAATATCTTGCAAAAGGAGGTTTGGATCAATTCATAAAGCAACCTGTTGGGGAAACCAATAGTGTGTGATCATAAAGAAAATAAATTTAAACGAGATGGAAAAGATAAAGAAATAGCGACGAAAAACATTACACAATTCAAAGCAAATTACATCCGAGTTTATAAACGAGATAGAATGAACACTTTTTAAGTGTAAGCATACTCAATAGATTTTTCATGAAAATTCTAATTAGTATGACATATATTAACTTATTTGGAAATGATAATTCTTTAAAAAATTCAGTAGTAGTGCAGTATTTGATGTAATTAAGCAGGGCATATTCTATAACTTTTAATATAATATTATATTTTTTTTAAAATTATAAAAATTTAAACTTTATTAATTTTTTTAGTCAAAAAATATATTAAATACAAATAGAAATGATTATTTTTTTTATAATTAAGATGTTTTTTTTAGAATATTCTAACTATAAATAAAAATATTAAAATTAATATTTTTCTTATAATATACAGTGACTAATAGAAATGTGAAATCATATATATGATTTTATTAATAAAACATAGTAAAAATTAAAATTTTTGTCTTATATAAAAGTTTTCAATTTTATTAATAAATAATTTTTATTTTTTTATCAAAACAAAGATTATAAATAATAGTTTAACATATAATTTTTCTGGATTTTTAGCTTTTTTTCTGATAAAGTTGTTCTAATTACAAAGTTATTGCAAAAATTTTTATAATTAATTTTATATTTTAATTATAAAAAATTTTTGTAATAACTTTGTAATTAAAACAATTTTATCAGAAAAAATCTAAAAAATATATGTTAAAATATTAACTTATAATTTTTATATAGAATAAAAATTTTAATTTTTACTATATTTTATTAATAAAATTGAATATATAATTTCATAATTTCATTAGTTGTTGTAAATTTATAAAAGTTAAATAAAATTAATTATATAACTAAAAATCTTTTATTATCTATTTATATATTGTTAAAAAATAAGTTTTAGCCAAAAAAGTATAATTAAAATTTTAAAATAGCTTTTATTTATATAATCAAATTTCTCTATAGTCATATTTATTTATAATTATACTTTTTTATAATTATTCTATTTTGCTTTTCTATTTATATATAAATATAATAAAAATTCTTTATAATTATATTTATTAAATTCTATCTTTTCAAGATGATAATTATAAAGAAGTTTGACTGTATTTTTTTTTTTTAGCTAAAACTTATTTTTAATAATATAAAATAAATAATAAAAGCTTTTTAATTATATAATTAACTTTAAATTTTTGTATTTTTAATTTTTTTAATTTATATTATAAAAAATATTAATTTAAATTTTTTTATTTATATTTATAATTAATAATTTTATATATATATAATATAATTGAACAAAATTATATATTATAAATTAATTATTATTTATATTAAATATTAATAAATTATTATTCATAAGAATGATTACTGAAATAATATTATTTAATTAAATAATTTGCTGAAATTAACTTGCCAAAATTAAATTTGAAATTATTTTGACTTATTTTATTAGTAGCTAAAATTATTTTCCAAAATTATTTGAATTCTACAAATCAAAATAAATATTTCTAAATGATTTTTAAGTATTTATTAATATAAGCAATATGCAAAACTGAATTATTTATCAAAATATCATTTTTTCCAAAAATAATTTAGGAGATTATCTTTAATTATTCATATTATTGTATAATGACCTTTTGTCATAATATTTTATTATTAAATTATAAATATTTCATATATTATTGGATAAAGATCATATCACGTGAAGTAAGCGAACAAGCGAGTGAACAAGCGAACGAGCGAACGAGCGAACGAATAACTAAGCGAACAAGCGAACGAACGAGCGAACGAATATTGAACCAATAGAATTTAAGTGATATAGCATATATGAATTCATATAGTCTAGAAATTATATCTTGAATTTGTATAAAAGCAACATGTATCATAGTTATTAGAATTAGATATAAACAAGTTCTTTTAGATAATAATTTCTAATTATTATGACTAATTAGTTATTACGTAGTTTTGATCATTCAAAGAAAAGTAGTTTGCACTTTATGTAAAGTAGATAATCAAGTGCAAACTTCTCTTTACACTCTTTTAACAAAGTATTCTTGTTTCTTGTATAATAGCTTTATAAGAAGTTATACAGATTTTGAATCAACATATATTATAGTAGCTTAAACAAGATTACTAGAAGCACTATAAAGTTATTATCTTTATCCTAGACTTTCTAAACACATTGTGATGAAGTCTATTGAACATTATATTAAATAAAAAAATTATTATTATAATTCATAAATCTGTTTTTGAGATTATTATTACTAATAATATATTGTTTATCATCAGGAAATTTCTATATCTGTTAACAATCAATTTATAATCATGCCTATTGGCAATCAATTATCAACACCACCATCAACCACCATCGTTCACCATCAATAGGGATTATAATTAATTGTCAGCAATTAAAATTAATTATAATCACTAACAATCAATTGTGTTTAAAAATCATCAAAGAACATCATTAGCAATTGATTGCAACCGCTAGCAATAGAAAATGATGATATATTAATGATTGATTACCAATAGAAATTATCAGTAATTGATTGTTAACGAGTTCCGTTTGCAATCGATTGCAATCACGATCGATGCCAATTAGTAGGAGTATTATAAATCAATTGCCAATATATAAGATAGCTAATTGCTTACTAGCAAGAATTAATTGTAATTGATTGCAATTACAATTATTGCTAATTAGTGAGTTGTTAATGCTCAATTGCCAATGTACATAGTTGGCAATCAATTTTCAATGAGAATAGTTTGCAATTATTTATAATCATGATCAATGTTAATCAGTTGGGGTGTTGATAATCAATTGTCAATTGAAGTGGTTTGCAATCAATTACCAGCATATATAGTTAGTATTCAAATGTAATCATGCTAAAAAATAATTAATTAGGATGTTAATGATTGATTACCAATGGGTATTGTTAGAAATCAGTTTCATTTTGGATAATACAATCATAATCAATATTAATCGTTGGTTTGTTGATATATATTATATTTATTTAATTGATACATTATGCATTTACATAAAATAATATATTGCAAGCTAATTGAATTGATTCATATTTATTTTATCATTCTT